GTAATGGGAACATTCACAGTGAGCTGGGTGGTTGAGTTGAGTTTGAGCCTTTTCCTCTTTTTCACTGTTCACACAGTTTTTTTGTACTTCTAAATGTCTACGATTGTTTTAAATGTTTGGTTGGTGTCTGGTTAATGTACTGGTCTTTTTTTAATGCTCTTTACCACGACCTCACTCCACTTTTTTAGTCCTCATCATACTACAGCGTAAGAGTAACAAGCCTCTGTATGTGAGTGTAGATCTCAGAGATGTTCTGGATGGTCTCTTTCTCGTCAGAAACACTGGCTGTGTTTTAATAATGGCTTTTTAGACTCAAAGTGACACTCCAAAAGGAGCAGGGCAGCCTAATTAAATCTGACCTAATCTGGAACAGAGAGCAGTGACAGGGCTGTCTGCCATCCAGCTGCAAGTGTGTGTGGTCATGCATGATTACAGCGGCACGGTCCTATCAGGCAGTCGTTTTGCTGACGTTTTCTTTTGTTTACATGTTTGGTTGGGCTGTACGGAACTTTTTAAGCATGTCTACTCGAGGATGATAAATACAAACAGAGCTCAAGGATGTGTGGCCTGGACTTTCACTGATTCGGATCTCTGCTTCCAGAGTTTCAGCTGCGCTTTACATATCTGATGACTCAATATATGCAATGCATCTTTTTTCCTCGAGGTGGCACTGTTTGAAACACAATGATGAAGTGGCGTTTCACTCATAATTACCGCAGGCATAAAACAAACGAATATCGTCCGCAAAAATGTAACTGGTTTGAATGGCTTTACTGCAGAGCAATTACTATAGGCAATGAAATATAAATGTCACTGTCATTTGATGCTGGATGTGGTGAATAAGCTGCCAGTGATCAAAATATTGAATATGAAGTCACTGAAAACGATAGTTTTGAGAATATGGCTGAGATCGTGAGTATGAGGCAGACTGTGGAAGTGCGCCCTGACGATGACAGCGATTGTAAAATCATCTGCTCATATTGGACCCTTTTAAGTTTCAAAAGGTAACGAAATATGCTTTATTTTATTCTTCTGTAATTGTTCTTAAAATATCAAAAGAGTTTTTTGCTATTGCAGAAGTTAGAGATCCACCCGTGCTGGATATATAGGTCCTGGTCGCTAAAGACCCGAATATGTAATAATGATTGGCGAGACATGCATGCATTTAAGGGTTAAACGTAACTTGACGCTCTCGCAAATGTTTCTCTGCTTGCTGTGTTTAGTGATCCATTGTGAGGTCAAAAACACAAGAAGTCAGTTGTTTGTAAAATCAGTCCCACAGGATGACAACAAGCTGACATAGAAAATGACTTGTCATGAAGGTTGTTCCTGCCTTCTGTGCACTAACATAAAGAACCACTTCAGACAAAATGGGTTCTTTAAGTACATGGGTCAATGACAAATAATGACATCCGAGATGATGAAAACAGAAATATTTGACAAATCAAAGGTGTATCTATCAAGTAAAAAGTAATAAAATATTTCCGTTATACCTTGAATACATTTGAACTCATTTTATTTAAAGGTAGCCTCTACTTCAATATGTTTAACAAAATAACACCATCATTATATAAATTATTGTTTTTGTTGTGTGTAATTAATTTCTTATTCTGTTCTAATTTGTATTCTCATCATTGAATTTGTTTAAATTTGGATCTGCTGTTTTTCTTTTGTTTTTTTTTAGAAAGTTCATTACAAACCCCTTATTATTGTATTTAAAAAACAATAAGCATTTGAATCTTTTTGAGACTACAATCTCCAGATAGATACACCAAAATATTAGACTTTAGGTCATAAAAAAATCACTCAAAATTATCTAAGAACAGCATTCAAAATGATTTTTTTTTAAACAGCATTGAAGTCATTGTATGTATAAACTATCTTTCGAATGTATTTTCTGATCACTTTAATAGATCCAGACAATCATCAGATCATGTCATTGACCCATATATGGTTCTAAATTGAACTATTAATATAATGTGCTGTTTTGAGATTCCCACTCTCTCAGATTCAGTGGGAGGCATGAACATCTGTGTGACCAAGCTGAAATTGTGCAATCCTAAACATGTTGGCCTTACTGGCAAGTGCGGTATGAGTATGTTCATTTCCCTTTTATAAGGTCAAGTTTCCTTAATCACAAAGTTCCTTTTTTTCCGTGTCTCTGGAATACATTTATAGTTATTTAATCAGAGACAATAGCCCCCGTATACTGTTTATATAGCCCATGTTACCCCGTGGAGGATATGAACACATGCTTTTAAGCTCACTCGGGAACTCGATCGGGGCGTGAAGCAAAAAGAAAGTAGTTATTCACATAAACATTTAGACAACCGTCTTCTTCAGCATGAAAACAGCTGGGCGCCACTTCATCAGAGGTGTGGGCAAGAGCTCAGCATTGTGGGTCAGGTTATAGGAGGTGAGATTGAGAAAGACTGTGTAGTGAATGAAGGGAGGAGATCGAGTGGGAAGAAGGTGTGTCATGAATGAGAAGACCACTGAGAAAGACTAGTGACCAAATCATGATTCAAACATCAAGCCACAAAAATGGCGATGTGAAACAGATGAATGTGAAATCATGTCAAAACGCCCTCACTCCCTGTAAAACAATGAGACAGACACATGGACAGGTGCATTGTGGGTCAAGACATCCCACAATCATGGAAGATTCCACATGCCCCCAGATGACTCATTACAGATTGCTGAAAATGAGTCAAGATCAACAATTTATGTTAAATCTAGATTAGAAAAAAAATAATGTAAACGTTGCAAGCGCTCTGTACTGAAGGAAGTGAGTGAAGCTTGTTTATCGATAAGCATTTCTTAGAATCTCAATGCTTTGAACCTGTCAAGATTATCTCTGTGAGAGGATATGCACAACTGACATTTCTGCCACCAACTTCATCCTTCCTGAATTATTTAGACCTGTAATAAACCCACAATAGAAACTCCATATTCTGTTTCCGATTAATAAAAACTTTAGATTATGCCATTTAAATGTTCTAAGAGTATATTGGTATAGCTTTGGCTTTCGGCTCTGACTGAGTGGGGTTTCCTGAAACTGAGAGGAATATTTCCCTTGGACACATTTATGAAGCATGGTCAGACTCAGAGTATATTGTTCCAAATTTTTTTACTCCATATCTCAAGTTTTGTTTCTCTTCAAGGACAAGCAAGGTGACCAGTAGGTTAATGACTCTGAGATGCCAAAAACCACCTCCATTCAATTTTAAAGAAAGGTATGGAAGATTATTAAAAGGTTATTCTGGGTTCAATACATGTCAATATAGGTTAAGCTTAATTGACAGCAGTTGTCAATGAAAAATATATGTAGGGTTAAGTAGATATAGATATAGACACATATATTTATATATAATATCAACTTGTCTCTTCTTTTAAAAAATAAAAAGAAATAATTAAAACTGATGATAAATAAAATAAATAAATTATTGTTCTATGAGTTCTTTGCAGTAAAAGTAAATAGGGCAAATTTTTGGAAGGATTTAAAATGATCAATGTCAAACATAATTTCATAAAAGCACACACTGAAAGAAAATGGGTGGTGAAGCTATTTTAATTTAGAAATTGCTAGTAAATTTTACAAAGAAATAGCAAGTAACTCATTGAACTAAAAGTGAGATTTAAAGAGAAATTGTTCTTGTAAAACAAAATATTTTTTATTTAAAACTTAAAAAAAAATTTTTACAGTGTATGTTGTTCGTTAAAGCTGTAATATTTGATTGTAAAGCTGTTTAAATAATTTTGTAAGCAACACAAAACCTTATAAAGTTATAAAATATAGCTTCATACAGACAAGGTTAGTAAGTGATTTTTCACATTAACATATTGTTTACATCTTGTGGCTTTAATTGGGAAACAGTGAGTAATTTTAACATTTACAACATTTATTTTTAACATTTAGATTTGCTGCATTTACTTCAGATTTTATTTTTTTTAAAGAAAGGTAGGCTATACTGACCAGTCAAAAACTGTTTTTAAGGTGATCAACGTTATGTCATTGGGCCTGTTTACACCTGGTCACTTCATGCGTTTTCGCTGATCGGATATCTATTTGATTTGTTAAAACGTTTCCATTTACACTTGGCCACATACATTTGTCGTCGCAAACGGATTTAAATCCGATCTTCAATTCCCGCCCTATATTTAAATTTAACGGAGTACACGTCAACGAAATCAAAAGATAAGCGCTGCATTCTATTAATTATCAGCTCATTTCAAGATCAAAGACCGCGGCATCAGCACTGGAAAGATAAGTGTGTCTTACTACTTTTAATGAAGATGATTGTGTGTTGACCGTCTGCGTCTTACTTTGTTTCATTCGCTGCAGTTTGCGCGTCGGCCTGCTGAAGAGATACTCACACTAAAAAATGCTGGGTTAAAAAGGGACAAACCCAGCTATTGGGTTGTTTTGACCCAGCAATTGGGTTGTTTTGACCCAGCGGTAACAACCCAATTGCTGGGTCAAAACAACCCAATAGCTGGGTTTGTCCCTTTTTAACCCAGCATTTTTTAGAGTGCAGCTACTCCTCCAGGTTATGAGGTTGCATTAGCGCAGTCATATCTGACTATAATGTCATATAGCCTATAACACGCTCTCACACGTTTATTATTTTAACATTTTGGGAGGAGTAAAATTTACATATGTGGTTTCAACAACCAGATGCATTTACACTCGTCCAGTTTCGTCTGGAATGCGGCCCAGACCACCTCCTGAAGTGGTTTGAGCGATCGGATTGATATCCGTCTCGAATTAGTTTCTGAGGGCATTTACACCTGGTCTTTTCACGATCGGATGACCAGGTGTAAACAGTCCCATTATGTCAATCTACTATAGATTGAGCTTAATTTGTATTGAAACCAGAATATTCCTTTAAGAAACATCTTTGAGGAGCACAAATCAGGGATGGAGGTTTCCAGTCTACTTTTCCATAGATAGACAATGGCTGCAGTCCACACGACAAACCTGCTCTGCTCTCTCTCACCCTCAGTTGCTTTCTCTGTCCCTCTCTATCATCATCTGCCTATCTGCTTTTGAGCAGAACCACACCAAACATCCTGCTCACTGCTACTACAGAGTCAAAAGTTCACTTCCCCAGCTCAACTTTACTCCTTTTGTAACTCCATTAACAGAAGCACTTTCGTATGTTTCAGATAGCTGGAGCGAACAAAAACACAACCAAACATCTCACCTGCCCCCTGACCCTGACTCACACACCTCTACGTTCCTAGAGCCGTCAGAGCAGTGCTGAACGCACAGCCACTTAATATTTCGTTTTCTTTTCTCTACGCTTTTGGAACCGAAGTGGAAAGTCTCTTTTTCTCTTGTTTTGTCTGTCGGAGAGCAGGAAAGAGAGAGCGATAGATTTTCGATGAGAGCGAGCTAATGAATGGTGGAGAAGGGGAGTGTCAGATTTATTTTCCCACCACCAAAATCCACTTCAAACGGGCTGTCACATCTCCTCAGCCCGTATTAATATGTCTGCGGTCAAAGTTTTAACTGTTATGATAGCTGTAATATTGTTCTATGCCTCGAGTCAGAAGATTTGTATTCCGTTTACGCTCTGGGTTTCATTTGGATACAAACAAACCGCTGTACCCAGACTGTTTTCATGTGTTTTGCAAAATTAAGTTGAGAGGAATTTCTGGATCTCGGCTGTCCACTTAAAAGTGTTGGGAAATTTCAGCATCTGTCTCGCCCCAAACAAGCTGGTTTCATGCGTGTGGTTTAATAGTACATGTATACAAAACCTCACTGGGAGTCTAATCCTGCCTCTCGGCAAAAAGGTCAGCTAAAGTTTCTGCAGGCCCGCCCAGAACAAATGGGTCAATCAACTTCAGAAACTATGCTTCCCTCCTTACCAACTCGGCCAAGTGTTTATCATTGCGGCGAATTATTGATAAACACACAACATTTCTTATACAGCATAAAGTTAACAGTAATCGGACTTGCTGTCTGGCATTTCTTTTAGTGCATGTGTGAGTTTCAAATTGTGCTGTAGAATTTCAAGTACCTTTAAGTGTAGAGAAAAAAACCAAGCTGATTTTTATCAAGAAATCATGTTTAATTTACAAATTTACCTTTTATGGTAATTAAGTAATTTCCCATTTCATTGTGTAACTACAGTATTTTCTGTATTGTAAAAATAGGAGACAGTTGCATAGGTTATATTCACAAACAAATCAAATAATAATTTCAGGAACAAAAATACATTTTTAGCATTGTGAAATAACCACAGGTTTAAAAATCCCTTCAGAAAGTGTGCTTGAATTTTAATGTACAATACACAGAGAGCAATTACGTGTGTGTTTTTGTATTAAACTATTGCTAAAGCATTGTGTAACCCATGATAGGCTCAGTCCTGAGGTAAGCACCAATGTCTTTTTGCTTTGATTAAGAGAGTTCAATCTGACCAACAAAAAAAAGGAAACACTTTGAATAGCTGACATGCTACAGACTAAAGCCCAGGTAATTTGCCCCAACTTACATGTTCAATATTCACTAAGCTCTAAAGCTTTAAGATTCACTAGTTCTTTCACAGTGCATTCGTGGTTTAAGTTTTCACATTCACCAGCTGAGGTTGTAATTGTAACTAGTGGTTAACAAAAACTTCTGTGAGAGGAAAAGACAAAATATCAGCTTGGTCTTTGGAATAAAAACAGCGGGTGCCATATCTCATCAGAACATTTACATTTACTGTAAAATGATTTATTTAGAGGCAAAGCAGATGAGCTGTAAGACTACAAAAAAGGAAGCAGCCCTAACAGGCTACTGTGTTTTATGTTACTTGAAATAAGAAGGATAGATTGTTGTAAGTGTAGCTTATGGTACATTAGAGCAGTAGCTGGAGGATTAGGGTGTACGTTTAGATCACAGGGCCTGGTCAACTGGCATAAAATCTAACATCAGTGGGACAGACAAGCGCGGATAGTCTTAGAAAATCTGAGATTTCACAGGGCTTACCCTGAGTGGACCAGCTGCTGCTATCTACGCTCACAGTATCAGTGAGAGAGAGCCCCTGCTCCTCATGTTCAGATGGTTGTCACATTAGCGGCTCTACGTGTGTGTGTGAGGCACCTTAGGGTTAAAGCCGTCACATTAGCCTTAAAAATTAACTGCACCGTAATAGGGGTGAGGAGGCCCTCTCAAACATTTCACATGAGGAAAGGTCTTGAAGGTGTTACTGAATCAATCACTTGCAAAACGTCACTGTTTGGTTTATATACACAAAAGTGCCTTGGCTGGTACTGTTATACAACTAGTCATGCAGAGAGTCATTCAAAGGGGTTGACTGCGATGCAACTGAAGCATATGGACTCTACTGTAAATATTACTGCATTTTCAAAGGCACCACCCATGCTTAGTCTGTCGCACCAGATGAACCAAAACACGTGGACATGGATTGTTATATCATGATCGGAATATGCACAAAGATATTCCGGTTGTGAGATCACAGGGCAGTACTTGCTACATTTTCAATAAGCTGAAGGCACTTGGCGTTGGAGGAAAGGAAAGGGAACAAAGACATTAAATAGCTCGAGACCATACACCTGAAGGTGGTGAAAATTTTTTTAAATGGTACTCTCTGTGAACTCTCATTCCATGCTGAAGGGGATAACTACATCAATGCAGAGAAAAGCTTAGATCACTTTACCTAAGTCCTGGAACAAACACTCTCTTCAGTTGCTCCCTTTAGTATGGAAAAAACTTGGCCATTCACAAAGCTGGAAAATCAGATACAGGTGATCCAGTACTCCGAAAAATAGTCTATAAAAAGTCCTCCAATTACTATAAAATCCCAAAGATTTGGCTTTTTTTCTTTTTCGTCCAGATTTGCTGCTCCATTCTGGACAGAAGCCCTGAATATTGTTCATATGTGCTTTTTCATTCTATATACACCAATAATACTTAATACACAGGTTTAGGGTACGATTGCAACTCTCTTCTGTAACATTTGACATTTTCTCTTTGGCTTTTCCAACATATAAAATAAAAAAAAAGAAAATGAACAGAAAAATAAAAATAAATATCTTTTTGGTTTTCAATTGGTTGTTTGGCTCGGTGATTGAACAAAAAATAAGTTGTTTTATATAAATACTGCATTGTCTGAGTGTCCAACAGTCAAAACAGATTATAAATAAAGCAGTTTCCTCCTTGTAGGAAAGTCATTTTAAGAAATGCACATACTGCAAAATCTGCAAAGGCACATTCAGAATAAAAGCGTTTGTGTGCATTTTTATGGCCAACACTTTCTGGTCTCCACTCTTTGAAGTGCAGGTTCAAATGATGATGAGGTGAGAGTTGAATACTGTGAATGGCATACAGTGATGTCTCTTTGGAAAGTAAAGTTAGTGGTTCCCCACTCTAGCTAGGAGAGTAGCGGTCAATGGTGCGGGACTCTGCCGAGAGCTGCTGAGAAGTAGGTGGCAGTGGCTGGTTCAGGACGTCTATCTTGTGGGTGAGGCCGAGGTGTTCTACAGCCAGCTTTGACAGCGGGTAGAGGCTCTCCATGGCTTTGGCATCAGCCAGCAGGTGCTGAGAGGCTGTGAGAAGGTCTGAGGTTTTCTCCTGCTTCAGGCCCAGATGCTCAGCTGTGTACTTGCTCAGGGGATAAATCCCCTCGGAGAAGTCTATCTTCAGCTTGCCATCAGGAGTTAGTCCTCCGCCAGCTGTTCCGCTGCTGTGCATCTTCATGTGACTGATAAGGTTGCGCTGCTGAGCAAACTTGCCCCCACACACCTGGCACTCGTAGGGTTTCTCTCCGGAGTGGATGCGCATGTGTTCCGTCAGACGGTACTGACGAGTAAAGCGCATGCCGCAGGCGTCACAGGCGAAGGGTTTTAGGCCCAAATGGCTGCGCATGTGGCGTGTCATAGTACCACGTTGGGTGAACTTCTTGCCACAGATGCTACAGGGGTATGGACGTGTCAGCCAGTGGGTTTTCTCATGTTGCCTTAGGGTGGCAGGATCTTTATAAGACTTTTCACAGGACGAACAGCGATAGGGTCGTATGATTTCCCCGAGACCAATGGAATGGAGATTTTGCGTCGATTTGCTATCTAGGAAAGGGCTGTGGAGGCCACTAGACCTATTCAAGCTTGTAGGTCCATGGGCATTGGTGGGTTTGCTGCTGATGTTGTCCAGCTCGCTACCGTTGTTTAGCTCCTCCTCAGTATGGGTTTCCACATGGGCATTGAGCTGCTCTGAGCTGGGGAAGCCTTTGTCGCAGGGGATGCACACGTACAAGTTATCTCCGAAACTCTCTGGCTCGTACGGCATGTGATATCTTCCACCTGGAACAGGGGGAGACGGACGACCCTCGCTGCTCCCTGTCTCTTCGCTGGCGGTCCCATTCTCATCCTCTCCATCATCACAGGTCCCTCTGTCATAGCCTCGCTCATTCATGTTCAGCTTTTCCTCACTGATCTTATGGTGATTCATGTGCTGGTGTCTCTCTTTATCCTGCTCACCCATTCCTCCACTCTCATCCTCTTCGTCTTCCTCATCTTCATCCTCTGGGTTGGAAGGCTCATTCTTCACCCACCGATAGATGTTGGACCCATCTCTGACTTGTTCTCTGGAGTCCTCCATGGGTTCTGGGCTAGGAGCGCAGGGGTAAGGTTCTTGGCCCTGAGGACGGTGCAGATGGGGAAGATGGGGTGCAAGAGGATGGTTGGGTAGAGGGAAAGTGAGAGACCCCACATGATGGGATGTCTCCATTTTTCTGGAGCCATCGTTGGGACTGAGCAGGGGGCTAGTGCTTTGCTCTAGCTCCCCCTCGGGCTCCTCTTCTGGGTGGAGTGAGGAGATCAAATGGGGGTGACCAGAGGGAAGCTGGGACTGGGAACTTGGGCTTTTCTTGGACAGGTCAAGGCCATAGACGGATGAGCAGTTTCTGTCAGTATGGGGCATGCGCAGGCCTGACTGGGGTGACAGGGATGCCTTTGCTGGGGGGTAAGGCGGTGGACCCTGGGTGGGGACTGGTGCATAAATTTCACCGATGTGGGGGGCAAGTGCAAGGGGGGGCAGGTCCTCTAATGGTGTAGGTCGAGGGGTGCTAACTAGTCCTCCAGGGTGGCAGGAGTGGATGACAGGGGTAGATATTCGAAACCGTCCTCCCCCCATGCCACTGGAGCCTATCTTGTAAGGTAAAAACCCAGGATTGGGACGTAAATGGTACTTCCCATTTCTTTTCAGCTTCTTCTTGCATAGAGTCACCAGATCCAGCAGCTGCAGATAACTTGCTGCCGCCAGCACTGCTCCTATATTTGGCTCAGTTGGAGAGGTGGGGTCACCTTCACTTAAGCGTCCTGTGTAGATATAGTCAAGAATGACTCGAAACACACCTGGACTGACCATCTCATGGTCCAGATTGATGAGGTTGTCATGAACGACAAGAGATTTAAGGTAGAGGCTACTGGCTGCCAGGATGTTCTTGTGAGCACGGAACAGTGCATTCTGCACCACGATGATAACATCACACAAGAAGCCTTTGGTTCGTTGTGTGTTCAACTGCAAGAGGAGGTGCCTAGCATGACTTGGGACTTCCATGGCATCCAGCATCGACTTCAGACAAATACCTGTAACAGAAGAGAAATGGAACAATTAAGTAGAAGCCAGAAAGTTGTTGCAGACACTAAGACATTTAGAAGCCTATTGAAAACTAGCTGAATTTTGCATATTTATTTGAGTACTGTGGTATAAAAGGCCATTTTTTTTAATAGCTGTCTTTTGAAATATAACACACGTTACTGACACATCTGTTTGTGTTGGACTGTCTTGTAAAACTTGACTGGCAGCACTTGAAGATATAAAAAGGAGCACTTAAGCTTGTGTGCATTTTCTTGATCCTGAATATAAGCTCTACATTTACTCTTTGATATTTTTGTGGACTTTCAGGTAGGGGATTGAGGGCAAACAATTCAGCTTTTACTTTAATGCAACAAGCATCAGAAGGACTCCATAAAAGTGAGCTATAGCTGACCGAGTGAGACTGTGATGGTTTTGTCATTATCAAGATACAAACCCACATGTTTAAAACTTACAGTGAAGTGCAGTTAACAAAAAAAGACAGAAGAAAAAAGACAGGGGGAAAATGCCAGTATAAACATGTTTTCATATTGCTGTCTTCCTGATAAAGAATTCCAGAGGTGGTGTGTGGAGTTTTAAACAAAGTCAGACTGAAGGTTTTGCAAGTGTGATGAACAGCAGGCATAAACCAGCGGGGACAAAAAAAAATGCAGCCAATTCATGATAGGACACTGCTGTACAGAAGTGTGAGTTACAAATGAAACCGTTTTTAAAAGATCACTTGTCAGAGGATGCCTACAAATTACTAAATAAACATTCAACCAACAATGCCAAGTTTAAATTCTAAGCTGAACGCAACGGTTCCTGTCATGCAAACATAATAAACATTACAAATTTACCAGAAAATATTGTTTAAACCCTGCTACATGAGGATGGTCTGTATATGAGATAAAACGGATAGTTCGGGTCCCACAGGGGATGGTTTCACTGATGGGAAACAAGAAGCTAAATAAATACAGTCATCCCAACATCAGTTCCTCCTCTCATTGTTTATTTCACTGTATAAAATAATCCTCTTAGATGAATACTGTAGTTTGTAGCCATAAGCTTCCATTTAATTAGTCCTTAAATCCAACAATGCAAGTCCCCTTAAAACCAACCACAGCTTCTAACATGAATAATACTTAACCACTCAGTTGCCAGAAAATCTTGGTTTTACACAGTGTGTGATTTATTCAGTGACTTTCAGTTGTTTGACTTTTTAAAGAAATTTCTGCCAGTAATTTTCTAGTTAGATCGATCTGGTTTTGGTTAGATTTGTCCACTGGAATTTAAGACATTAAAACAATATGCAAACATTTTCTTGTGTGTGTAAAACTTCAATAAAGTTTTAATAAATGGTAGTAGCCTACTATTGTTTTATTTTTTCATTGTCCAAATATACTTGATCTTAACTGGAAGCCTCCAATTGTTGCTATGGTAACCTCATCAGACTAACCATAACAGCTGGAATGTAGATCTATAGTCTAAATGCAAATAGATCAAATGTAAAAAAAAAAAAATACAATTCATTAAGTACCCAAGTTATAATTAGGGGGGTCAGATCTCCCCTACCCTCCATAATGCGTACTCTGATTATACACACTAAACATGAGATGCTGATTCCTACTATTCCTCTTCATTAAAATTAAAACAGTCAAATGTGATGTACATAAAAAGCTGCATATCTGTATCTCTTTAATATAAAGAGGCAGCTGCGCACTGTACAGAAGCATGAAGGCGCGCTTGTCATTCTGGCTTCTCCACTAGAAGAACTAGTTGGTGAGGCAGAGAAACCATACATGGACAGGACTGAGGTTCGTCTATAAAAAATAAATTACTGTATAAATATATTTATAAAACAATTATCTGTGTACATTTTTGTGTCGAAACTATTAATTTAGCCCGGTGCTAAAACATTTAAACATTTGTGTAAAAAAGAAAAAACAACAACGCAGATCCAGGTGACGCCTAAAATAAGAAGTGATGGTTTTAAACAGTTTTGAACGTTTCCTTTTTGTGGAAATATTGCCGACAGCTGATCATTTCTGGCCTGCAGTGCACCTGTAGCTTTTCCCGTTCATGTCAGCCTGAACACTCTTGAGTTACAGGTTATTCAATACAATTTTCCTAATTCATAAATCATGTGTTGCGTTTTATTTCCAAATGCGCGTCATTTATAGATTTTTTTTAACCATTATATAATTGTATCACTTGTAATTATATAAAGGATATACACTTTCACTAACGCACAGATTCAAACAGATGACATGTTATTAATTTCCTGTTGCAGGCAAAGTTACCTTAACAATGGAGAATCTCAACCAAACAAACACCACCCGCAACATTTCCTCTCAGTCCGCATCTTTCTTCAGAGTCTGTTAATAAAAGCACCTAAGTTGTGTAACTCTTATCTCCTCCCCTGCTGCCCACGGACACGCCCACGGATCACTGACAGGTGTATTTTAAGGTGAAGAGCCATTTTTGGCTTGTGGACTTTTCATTAGTGAGAGTTTGAGAAAGCAGAACAAAACTGCATGATTTATGGCGATTCGTGCCGTACTGTCCTAACTGTGCTGCTTCCAAGAAGCGCAAAGATGACAGAATAGAAGGAAAATGTAAACAATAAACGGGACGGGACGGAAAGTAAGGACTGTGGTTCAGCAGTCACCTGAACGTTTTTATAAGCAAAGGAAAAGAAAGAAAATCTCCTCTAATTAGTCAGACAAAAACTAATTTTGTCAAAATGCAAGGGGGAAAAGCACTCCTTTATTCTGTCAGACGCTCAACGCGTAAAGATTTAAAGGAAGTGATGAAAGACGTAAATCATGTTCTAAAACGACTGTTTGAACTTCACGCGTAAACACTTACATCCTCTCAAGCCTGTCATCCTGTGGATTTACATTACGCGTCTTTAACGCGCACTTATGCATCACGGAATTTCAGCTCATTTAAGGACCCAATCATTTAGATTCATTACTTAAATAGCCTATCATCAAATATAAAAGTTGAGGAGTTTTAATTCAACCTTTTAAAAAAACACTGAAAGTCACATTATTTAATCTAAAAAAAGATTCTACTGAATAAATACATTTAATAGGGAGAACTCATTTGAATGAAACGATAAAAGCTATCAATGCTCAAAAAATGTCAATTGTTTGGTCGTGTAGCGCATGCTACAGCTTGGTATATTTGCTATATTTGGTATGGTACACGACTGGATAAAAGACAGTGCATGGGTCATATTTTAGGTGCTTTGGTATTCATTAGCCCTGTGTTTTGTCTCTGTTGTCATTTTGCTGTTTTAGGGGTGAGGCAGGGGTCTGCTCGTGTTCTTAAGACTTCCTCTCTCTCTCTCCACCCTCGGTCTGTCATCTTTTTACCGCAAAAGCGTCCTCCCTTTGAGATTTATCCCTTTAGACTGAGTCTAATGTACCTTTAAGGAATAAACAGTCAATCAGTCACAAAGCATGTCTTTTAAATTTGCTGAATTGGCGTATTTTAAACTTTGTAAACACTGGGCACACGAGAGATAGGCTATCTAAATATTTTGTTTGTTTTATTTTTTTGAGGATAAGAAATGACACAAAAAACACATATAGACCAATTATATTACATGTAGGCTATAATTTAATAATGTTGGCCCAATAATTTAATTGCAGAATAAAGTTGCCATTCAGTCACTGGCACGTGTGCGAGAAATAAAACTAAAATACAATGTTTTGAATTAGTTTTCAAATTGGTGTCATTTCAAGGGCTTTAAAAATTTTCACTATAACTTAGTTTTCAAATTTTACTATTCCCTAAGTCATGATCGTTTTGTCAATTAAAGGTAAAAACCTGCGCAAAACCTCTTGGCACCAAGAAACGTGCGTTTGTCTTGGATCGTGCCTGTTTAAGTGGTTTAAAGTCAAACGGCAAAACACCTGATGTTTATCAACCATTTTTGCATATAATTTGAAGGTAGCCTAAGAGGTTGGAAAAGAGCGTATCATGCGCTACAGCTTCCTCTTCCACAGCTCGTCTTATTGCGCTCATATTCTCTCGCGCGCTCCATCAGCACACGCAGATCTGGATATTCATTCATAAATACCACTGGGAGGACAGCTCACCATCCCCTATATGTGGCCTCCATGGTCAGAGATGAGATGGAGATATTCTAGTTTTATGTTCTGTAATAATCTCTTGGCTAGAATGTAATAGAGAAAGATACAGCTGATAATCAGAGATATAGGCAAGTTCTCAGAGTGTCGCTATGAGCACGTTACACTTTTAATTAAAATTCTAAATTAAAGTGAAAAAGAAAAAGAACTGTGAGGCCTGTTATAACCTCTAAATATGATGCCATAAAACTGCTTAATTTTACATTTTGTGGTCTTTAAAAATGTTTGTTTGACGCTTTATAAAGCATAAACTGTGTAATTATCTCAGTCCATTAAATCATTTAGTTTTCTATGAATAAATTGCATTATTTAGAGCTCGTCTTTGTACATGTGAGGAAATGTTTAGTTTAAACAGAGTATCCTCTAAAATAGGCTACTATAAGTGACACCGACAATCTAAAACATGCTGAATTTAAATTGTTCATTCAGCAGACTATATTTGCATGCAAGACACCACATATCTGTCTTTAAAATCGAATCATTCTCTTTAAACTCAAATCAGTCGCATGTGAAGCTATTATAAGCTTGACTATTTATAATGAAGCCCCTTGTTCACAGACGATAGATAAAAAAAAAACTTTACAGTTTCTAAATATAAAAAAAAAACAATTTCTTCAATATATAAGTAGCCTGTTTGCATTTTGAAAATAATCGTTGATACATTAGGCTAGCATATAATACTAAAATGTGCACAAAAAAAAAAGAAAGAAAGAAAGGAAGGCAGGCAAACAACCGGGTCTTAGTTTGTAAAACTTTTATATCCATCCGCAAATGTACCGAGAATCTGAATAAGATTAAACGGTTGCTCGGGTTATTATTATGTCTATCTAGATGAATAAAGTGTTGATAAAGAGGCTATAATGTGAAGCTATTATAAGCTTGACTATTTATAATGAAGCCCCTTGTTCACAGACGATAGATAAAAAAAAAACTTTACAGTTTCTAAATATAAAAAAAAAACAATTTCTTCAATATATAAGTAGCCTGTTTGCATTTTGAAAATAATCGTTGATACATTAGGCTAGCATATAATACTAAAATGTGCAAAAACAAAAAAAAAAAGAAAGAAAGGAAGGCAGGCAAACAACCGGGTCTTAGTTTGTAAAACTTTTATATCCATCCGCAAATGTACCGAGAATTTGAATAAGATTAAACGGTTGCTCGGGTTATTATTCTGTCTATCTAGATGAATAAAGTGTTGATAAAGAGGCTATAAAATGTTAAGAGCATTGAACGTTACCTGGATGCCCGATCTCTTCTGCCATCCGATCTAAGTCTCCCCTAATGATCATCTCAGCAGTCTTTTGGAGTCATTTCTGACGTTTCAACTTTGAACTGCCAGCCTCCCAAAACCATGCCAGTTTTCCGAGCACGACTGCCAACTCTTTTTTATTATTAATTGCAATGAATTTCGTGTTGCTCACCCTCCCTCTTGCTCGCTCTCTCCCTCCACCCTCTATCTCTCTCGCTCACTCACTCCTATAAAAATACGTGCGTACTCCTGCATCACTTTTTCTCGTTTTTTGTATGTTTTGTAATTTCCTTGGCTATTTTCGCATGGATGTAATAACGCGACTGGAGATGATAATGGCTTTCTGGGCTGCGCGAGTGTTTTAGCGCCTCGTGTGATGTCAGTCTACAATAAAACTAAAAGGTAAAATCGAGGGCAGGAACTTACAGTGACCCCAACTTGAACTTCTCAACACATCGACGCTTTGTCTTAAAGAGACAGGCGTTTTTATCGTATATCACAACATAGTGTGCGTTAAAGAGTAGCTGTTTTTATGAGTGCTGACTGTTTTAATACGGATGACGGGGACCATAACTTCTGTATAGAGCTCGTTATCATGTTATTCAGGAAAATAAATATTGAGTCTGCACACCCCTCCCTGTCTGTACCTGTGAATGTTAAATACTGATTACCTTTTACATAAAACTCATCTTGTTTTAATTTAATACAGTTGGTTGCACAACACTTAGCCTACAAAAAAGTACTCCCATGTTTTTAATATAATGCTATATTAGAAACATGGTAGTGCATGTTAATAATGCTATAATATCAAACAATTAGTTGCAAATACTTTTTGAAATACTTTTTAAGCTCATTTAGGGCTGTATCAGTAGCATCAGTATTATCAGTCTTTAATGACACAATTGCTTACTTTTACACAGACATTTATCACTATATTTAGACAGAAAAGGTGCAGAAATGATGCATGTAGTCTGTATAACACAACACTGACAGAATGTAGGCTAGTTATGTGACATGACTACACCACTGGAATTTTTCAAGTTTCATTTTTTAAGTTTCATTAATAGATATGCGTCCTCTTCATTTATTAAGTGTGTTTATTCTGAAAATTATGATTTAAGATTATTCTTAATATCAAAAGCAGGTATGAATGTCAGTTTAGATGTCATGGCCTATTGACATACACCCAGTGACCGCAGTTTAATGTGCACTCTTAACAATTAAAGTTTGAATTAGAATCTAAGATAACTTTTTCTCGAGTTCTTTAGAAAGCCTTCTGTACCAATACACTGATTTGAAGAACCTGTAGCCTAATGTCACATCAATAACTTTTTAATCTGCAAAGAACCCTATTCAATTCCAGAAATATACACTATAAAAACGTTTTCTCATAAGGAGAAGGTTCATTGCTGAACTATCGAAGAACCTTTATTTTTAAGAGTCAGTTTTGTTTTTAACAGCTATACATAGACGAAATTAAGTAGCCTATGTAATAGAGTTATGCTGGTTGGTGACAAGTATTTTGTTTTGATTAGTTTGATGTCAACATTTTAAGATTGTTTACTTTTAGATGCATGATATGTGGTATTAAAGATCCGATTAAAAAGTAGCCTACAATAATTCAGATCTCCGGCTGTCCAGACGCGCCTGCCAGTTATCACAATCTATCAGGTCATGTTGGCACGCGCTCACTGCGCACACCTGAACGCGCCGCAGGTAACTCACACGATACATGCATTAACACAAACTCACCTCGGAGTCATGTCTGATGCTCCTGCCGATCTTGACTTCCCCTACGGGACTCCCCTGTCCACAGATCCCCAATCGTCCAAATTCCTCTTTAAAAGGTCAACTTTTCCCGGTGTTCCCAGCTTCTTCCGTGTTGTCCCTTGTCCTTTACCCTTCTCCCCTTCTCTGTCCCTCTCCTCGCGTTAGAATGGATCAGACACTTGAGAATCTGGATGGACTCTGATTGGCGTTCGTCTCCAGAAGCAGTGCAGGCTGCGCGTGCAGCGACACCTAATGGCGCATATTATAGTGCCGACGGCAGAGCGCAAGACACAGCGGAATACATTCATTAGCTATCAAATGGAAATATTGGCATAATTTCTGACCTAACATTACGCACTTGTTTTTGTTAGATGGGTGTAAAAATATCAAATGTTTAAAATAAAGTATTTGAAATGATAACACTGGAACGAAGTAGAACTAATGTGAAATTCAAATGTCCAAGTTGATACTTGAATGTATTAAACTTCTTCGTTTTCTTTTTAGTTTTAAATGTTTAATTTTGCTATTAGCTCGTAGGCACAATAAATGAGCAGCATTGTCGCCACTCCACAATGCTGCTGGTTTTATATTTAATATACTTTTGCGTTTTCCACGCGCCGTTTTGTGTTTTGTTTTGTTTTTAGTTTATTTTTATTTAAATGTTTTGCTATATGCATCATTTGTTTCTGTTACTGATTTTGTTACTGAATATTTTGTCTCAAATACTTTCAATAAGTTTATTTATTTATCTTTTTTGTCGTTTTTTATTAAGTACTGTTATGAATTAAATGAGCTGCTAGGTGTTTTCGAGCACTCTTTTTCTTTTGGGACTGTTTTAGAAGGCATTCATTCATGCATAATCTTGCTTCCCACAGTTTAACCAGTCACGAAATAATTGCTATTTTCTAATAAGAATCATGACAACTATACACTGTCGATCTGACTGACTAGTGGATTTCAGCCAGATATTCCCATGGTGTCATATGTTTTGTCATTATTTTTGCTATCACTTTGTGGCGTCCCGTTTGTTGTGGAGTGCTGAGATGAAAGTGGTTTCTCGTCGGACATTCACCTGCAGGCAGAAGACTTTTCATGTCAGAGCCTGCCCCTCAGACCCTTGTATTACTCTATCAGCTGACTGACATCTGTTTCCCGTCTCTCTCCTGAAATTACTGCAGTTCAAGATGCTGCTTTTTAAATCTAATGGTCAAAGTCATAGCAGTCTGGCTTTACTGTGGAGAACATATTGTCTTTCACTTCCAGTTTCTCTTGATGAACTTATGATAACCTCAAAAAACAGAGATAGGCAGAGCTAGACAAAGGACAGATAAGGGTGCAAACAGCACCTGAATGTTTTTTAGTTCACTTTTAATGTTGGTATAAAATTCACTGCCCATATGTTGGAGAGAAACAATGGGTATTAGTCGCTCGAAATAGGATTTCAGCCAGATATTCCCATGGTGTCATATGTTTTGTCATTATTTTTGCTATCACTTTGTGGCGTCCCGTTTGTTGTGGAGTGCTGAGATGAAAGTGGTTTCTCGTCGGACATTCACCTGCAGGCAGAAGACTTTTCATGTCAGAGCCTGCCCCTCAGACCCTTGTATTACTCTATCAGCTGACTGACATCTGTTTCCCGTCTCTCTCCTGAAATTACTGCAGTTCAAGATGCTGCTTTTTAAATCTAATGGTCAAAGTCATAGCAGTCTGGCTTTACTGAGGAGAACATATTGTCTTTCACTTCCAGTTTCTCTTGATGAACTTATGATAACCTCAAAAAACAGAGATAGGCAGAGCTAGACAAAGGACAGATAAGGGTGCAAACAGCACCTGAATGTTTTTTAGTTCACTTTTAATGTTGGTATAAAATACACTGCCCATATGTTGGAGAGAAACAATGGGTATTAGTCGCTCGAAATACCTCAGTTGTTAAATATAATTGCTTAATTTGACCCTTGTGTCTCACTGACCTTGACTCATGTGACACCAAAGTCATTTGGCTCAGTTATGTTTATTGTTTGTTTACAGGCTCATTTGATTTGCCGAAGTCAGCTCTTTCATTTTCTTAAGGACACATTGGGCCTCATTCATGCAATATGAGCAGAACGAATTTCTAATTGCTCACTAAACCATTCTTACATAAATTGTCACATTCAATTCATGTAAGAAAGACTTTATGAATGATTTACAAACAAATTTGTTCTACTTGTGTTTCATGAATGAGGCCCAGTGTGTGCACAAGCGAAATGTGAATTCTGATTTGGATGTATGTTAAAGTGAATGATTTATACACAAATTTGCTATAGAGAGGATGTAAATTCGGTCACACTATTTTTAAAGTCCAGTTCTCGCTATTAACAAACTATTAACTACGACTTTTGCCTCAATAAACTCATAATTTGCTGCTTATTAATAGTTAGTAAGGTAGATGTTAAGTTTAGGTATCAGGGATGTAGAATATGGTCAGGCAGAATATGTGCTTTATAAGTACTAATAAACAGCAAATATGTTAATAATAGGCATGCTAATAAGCAACTAGTTAATAGTGAGAATTGGTCTCTGTACTAAAGACTTTATCTCAGCAAGTGAAGACACACTATAACCTCTATTAAGTCCTGAACTGAGTTCCTAATGAGTCAACAACAGGTGAATGCCTGGTGTTTACAGTGATTAAGTGAATGAAAGCTGTGTGTTAAAACATTAACCAGGCCTGCCACTGGATCACAGAGCACACTTGCACAACCACTGACACTTAACAATCAGCCATCACCTCCTAAATAACACACCTACTATTGTTTATTTGTATGTGTATGTGTATGTCCGAAATACGTGTGTGTAGGTGTAAAAAAGTGTGACATTAATGTGTGTAAAAGAAGGAAAGAGTGCAAGAGAGCTGAACAAATGTAGTTTTAACAAGTGGGATGTTTATGTGCTGCGTGTTAAACTTTATTGGCCATGTGCATGAGTGATATTGGTCCGTAAGTGGGTCTGCGAGACTACACTTCTGTCAAAGTGAAGAATAATCTGAGGAACGTCTGACTTGGGACCGAAGCATCAAGTTTAAGTATGCATAGGGAATGACAAAAAGCATTCCACTCAAGTTATAATAACATTGTTGTTTTCAAGCATAAGGCCTACAGTTAGATTACGGCCCTGCAAAGCCCAAAGGCAACAGCGGCACAGCATCGCTGTGACATATAACAAATAACAATAATTCATCTTGAATAGATAAATCATAAGATAAAGTCTAAATAAATAAACAATTATAAAATTATATACCATAATATAGAAATTACATAAATAATAATAATGTATATTGAAGCAATTATGTACTCTTGTTTACTTCTCTTTAAATTATTATTATTAATAATAATAATAATAATAATAGCAACAATATGAATGAATTACTAATAAACAAACAACAAATAAAAACTATAAATATATAAATCAA